TCAAGTTTTTCGTTTCATTCCATCTTTTCGCGCTATTTCTTTTCTTTCCGCGTGCTGTCGTTTCTTCGTGCAGCTGTTCCTTATTTTCCACGCGTTTTCTTATCTTTCTCTTCTCCAGTTGATCCAACCAAGTACTGACGATGCGATGTCCGATAGGTTCTCAAGGATATAACGTGGCAGATTCGTGAAGGCGAGAGGTGGCATTTACAGGGCTCGAATGGTGGGCACATACTTTCCTGTGGAGTTTTGGTTCGCTAGCCTGGTTCCGCTTACTGGTTCGAATGGCCTTCACGCGTTACAAATTCCGATCAGTTAAACTCGACTTCACATCGTCTACTTGATTCTCCCATCCATTACGCTCCTTTTCGCGCATACATTCACATTCCTTTCTACTTTCACATCCGCCCTAACTAACCCCCTCCATTCCAGGCTCAGGCAAAACAACACTCCTCTCCCTCTTAACAGGCGACCACCCACAATCGTACACGCAGGCACACCTCCACCTGCCCTCGCTATCCCCTGCCTCATCATCGTCTCCGTCCTCCTCCTCCACAACTCACCCCTACCACACGCATACCCTCCACCCACGAAAACGTACACCAACAGCCCACCTCCGCACACTCATCGGCGTCGTCTCCCCGGAACTGTTCGACGCTTTCCCGCGTCGTCATCCAGGCATGACAGTTTGGGAAGCCGTTGTTACGGGCTTTGGAGGGGGGTTCGTACCCCTCAAGGGGAGTGAGAGGGTGGGTGAGATACGTGTGGCTGACGAGGAACTGGGGTTTGAGCTTAGTGACGTGGAGAAGGAACAGAGGAGAAGGGAAGTGGAAAAATGGCGTATCGCTCGATGCTGGGATGTCTTATCAGCACTTGGTCCGCGAGCCTGGTCTACATCAGGAACACCCGAGACGGAAAGACAATTCGCAGCGCGTAGGTTCACGGCCCTGTCTCCAGGCGAACAGCGTATCGTCCTCCTCATGCGTGCCTTGGTATCCCGGCCTCCCTTGGTGCTCCTCGACGAGGTATGGAGTGGGATGGACGAGGGTATGATTTGTGCCATGCGGAGGTACTTGACGCAAGGTGGTGGTGTTGGAGAGGGACAGGCGGTGGTTGTTATTACGCATTGGGATGAGGAGGTGCCGTGGGTTGGTGAGGGAGTCAGGCGGTTTAGGATTTGGGAGGGGGTGGGGGGCGTTGTTTAAGGATGATCGATGAGTGGGTGGTGTTGCGTTTTGATGGATGTGTAGGATGGGAGTAGAAAGGAATTTGTGAAGGACGCGTGTTGAGCGGTCCAAGGCGCCAGACTGACCTGTGCAGCAACGTCTGGTTCACAAGGCGTGGGTTCGAATCCCACTCTCACCATACGGGCCATACCCTTCGCTAAGCGCGTCTTTTTCATTATGCATTGTAGAGTATATTTTGGTGTATACCTTGTTGCTGCCTATGGAGGGTTACTTATAAGTATAAAGTTGTGTTCTTCAGCAAAGACGTTGGACTGTGAACGACTTTGGAACGACTCGCGCATACTAAGTATATTCACAACATTCACTATCGTCCCCCACGGCCCTCCATCGCTCTCTTCTTTCTATTCCTGGTATGTAAATCATTTATTGAACACAGACTGTGAGCTTACTCATGTACCTGTCAGCTACTTCCAACGATCTCGAACGTGTTTTCAGCTGCACTCGTACCAAACGGATATGGTAAGATTCCTGTTACCTGAAAAAGGGACGAGGATTTACGGAAAGACGGCGAGGTCCGGGGTCCTTGTGTAGAGCGTATATATTCAGAGCTTCACAAGTAGTTGAGCATATGTACAGGCTACGCTTGCGTCGAGTCCTGAAGAGAAAGCGTTCAAGTATACCCGAAAGTAACCAACCTCCGGAACCATCTCACACGTAACCCTCCTGCACTTGATTGACAATGAGTATCGTACCATATATCGGGGTCGTTGAAAAAGCTGAAAAACATATGATGATCAGAGATATTTGCGTGAGAAATTTGAGATAGAAAAACGCTGTGTTTTATACTATACACTTCAGGCAGCGACGAATATGAAGGGCCACATATGTGTAAACATAGGCAATAAAAACTGTAGAATAGACCAAAACCAGTGTTCCCCCAACATATTTGCTCTCAATTTCTAAGTTTGGTGATGGAATTGTACATCCATCATATGCATAAAACAAACTTACAATAAAAAAAGGGATCAGATCCAAAAAATGAATGAATAAATATGATCTAAACTCATATTTAGAAAATGCTGAACTTCCTGGGCCAAGATTTTAGCATATTCTGAATATGAATTCAGATCATATTTAATTGTTCATTTTGTCACTGGACACATGTCAAGATAATTTGTGCTGATATACTCTAACAATATCTTTTGAAAGTTCCTTATTTTTTTTCTGTTTTCTGGTAAGAAAGATGTAATACATCTACAAAGATTGTTTTCAATGAATGAAGACCAAATACTTATGAAACATGTTAAAAACATATAGAAACTTACTTGAAAGATATAGGGTCAATTTGAATTGTCTAAAGATCTATCTCAATGGATTCAACATGTTTTTAACATATCTTATCAATATTTGACCTTTGTTCATCAAAAACAATCTTTGAAGATGTATTACATATTTCTTGCTAGAAAAGAGGGAAAAAATAAGAAACTTTCAAAAGATATTTTTAGCATATTCCAACACAAATTATCTTGTCATGTGTCCAGTGTGTGGATCTGATCCTTTTTTTATTGTAAGTTTGTTTTATGCATATGATGGATGTAAAATTCCATCACCAAACTTAGAAATTGAGAGCAAATATATCAGAACAAAAGAGATTACAGCGTATCCCGCAGTTTTGAGAGCATATGTTTATACATATGTAGCCCTACATATTCGTCGCTGTCTCAAGTGATATCTGGAATCGACGTGTAAAGAGGCCAATGGGGCATATCGGCAATACTTTCTCATCTTATTAAGAAAAATGATCTGCACTCAGTTGGCACTCAGCCTGACATAGTTCGCGTTTTGAGTGGGTGGTGCGGAGCATGTTGTGGTATGCTCTATCTCCCAAGTAGATGCAGGCACATTTCATTTCGTGAATGGCCTTTCTTCAGCGCTAATAATCATCATTTTACACAAGACATGCCTCGCTTCACTTCGGCAGCTTGAGCACAGAAAATGGACAGGAGCCAAACATGTACACATGAAAGCCGGAGAACAACAAAAGAGCAGAGAGTGTGTAGGTGCCGAAAGAGTGATTAATTATTTAGTGGCCATATGACATGAGAGGCCAAGCGCGTTGGTCTTAGGTGGAGGATTACAACAAAAGAGCAGAGAGCCTAGGCGCCGAAGGGCTAGCCAAACATGCGCCCACGAAAGCTGGGCATTTCCTTAATATAAGAGTAAGCTAATATAAATGGACGGATCGAGAATCGAGATCATTTCTCTGAGCACCTGCACTGAGGTCATCTGGGGTAATTACACAAGAAGCCGTGAGGAAAGGAAATTCAGTATTCTTCCGTAGTTGATCGATTGTCGATCCCTCTACTATATGTGCACTAGCTTGATTCGTGCAGATGAGGAAATAGTAGCTCGCCCCTGGCACTGACATACAGACATCTTTCAGCAAATGACCTGTCCTTGTCTGATAATTGTGATTGAGACCATTGCTCTATACACTCCCGATGTCAATCCCAACTTGTTTTACAGAAAATACATCAGTAAAACCAAGGGACGGATTGCTCGCCACATAGACAAGTCTCTCAGCAAAGGACCTATCCTTGTAATATACTTAGTAGGTTATAGGCGCCGCATAAAGCAAGTCCGCCACACCCAAAACTTGAACCTTACCTTCATTTCAGATGAGGGTGCAAGATGCCGATTCAGATGGCAAATTTGTGCTGGAGTCACTTGCATGAATGGGTGGGTTTTAATTCCGCCACCAAGCCTTACACATTACGGTTGGGGTCGTATCTTCCTCGAATCTGTACGGGTGCAAAGCAAGGTCATCAGTCTTCTGTAGGATATCCGAATAAGTAGGCGCCATTAGGTAGTCTACAGCATGTCTACAATGAGGTGATGAGTATACAAGTTTCCGACTCGGACGATGTTCTGCCGAAGTGGGCCAAAAATTCTCAGAAGCACAAGGAAAATCCCATCGCACTTTAGAGGGATTGAATCTGAGTCCTTTGATGCTAGACTTGTTCTGATCAACAGAACCACGAAGAATGCTGACATGTGAGGGCGACATATGTAGAGTGCAGACTATTTTTCAAATTTCCTCGTATGTGTGCTGGGTATTTTTAGAAAGTTCATGGCCCACCAACTGCCAACCAATTGCCAACATGTTGAGGAACGATGCGGGTAAGTGTCTTCTAATACTTCAGCGTTGGTTCTCAATCCCCCTAAAACATGTTGAAGATTCACAGGCTACGCTAATTTGGGACATGTTTTTAAATGAAAAATGAATTTGTTTCGCATCTCCACCACTTATAACACCTTCTAGCACGGTTGCGGGACGAGGCTGTCAGGCAGGGCTTCGCCGGACATCTGAGAAAATATTTCTGGTTAGCCTACAACGTGCCGACAACAGGTCTACAACGAGGTGATGGACTCCCAAAGTCAACAACAATTTTCTGGCAAAATAGGAGGTGTCCAGAGCCACAATAATTCTCTCACCGAATTTTCAAGGGATCGATTCCCTTGCTTGGTACCATGAATAGAATAACAAAAAGTACTTGCTTGTGACCAGGCTATTTGTAGAAAGCTGATGCAGATGGCCCACCAGAGCGCAAAATTCAATGTTCAACCCCAATTTCCAACGATGCTGAAATAAATTTCGAAACCTCAGTGTTGTCCCTCAACACGTTGGCGATTGACAGGATATGCTAGCTTGGGAAGGAATGACCCATAGATCTACAGATAGAGCTATTTACGGATTCATGGGCACGCTTCTGCAAAGCGTACATCTGTACAAACTGGGTTGAGCCCCAAAAGAAGAGCTCTGCAATAGTCAATGTTAAAAAAACGGCTATAACCGTTTTTAGGGCACCGGAGATTCTCTTTGAGTTCTGCTTTGGTGCCCCTCCGTCGATATATAGAGGCCAAAGCAGAAAGAAATACTAAACCGCAAGTTCGCCTTCAACTTCAAGATCACAGGAAATGGGTGCCCGAATATCTATAAGCCAAAGGATGTATGTTTCCTCTAAAATTGTCATCGAAAGGGGTTACTAACATCAACTCCAGAAGAATAGGCCGCGGCGTTTTCAGCAGCAGCGACCCAAATGCTGCAACAATTCGTGTTCTGAACGATACTCCCTGTAGGTACTTGCTGACACTTATACTCTGCTTTGCTTATCATGCTGGATTTACGTTAGCTCCCATCACCCTCGTATTATATACGCCTGGTCAAGTGTTTACCTTGGAAAGCAAGGAAATCGGGGCTGGGACAGCTGGAGATATCATTTTTCTCAAAGCAGTCTATGACGTTGAAGTGGTGTATGCTGATGAGAAGAAGATTATTTGGTAAGCTGACGGCCATTCATGAATTTTATTGAGGAATGACGCTTGGGTGCATTTATTTAGGAATGTCCAAGCCTCCGAGAACATCAGCACCACTGCCTCCGCCATTTTATCAGGCGACTATGAGGACGACATTCCGATCAGTAAGAAGGTGAAACTCATAGGCAAGACCTCATTGGTTAAAGATTACCTGAGTGGAGGGTCACTCGAAGCAGCTGTTCAAACTTTTGGTGTTACGCCTGATGATCTTCTCAAGGATGCTATCAAGAAGATTCCACAGTAGAAGGCTGCTTTTGTTGGATTATTAGTTTTTCAGTTGTATATTAGCCTCAGTATGAAAGCCCCTACACCTACCACTCATGATTTGTTCAAATTCTGCCCCTTCCAAAAAATATCTCCTGAGTATCTAGACAAATCAACAAGTCGTCCTCAAATTTTTATAGTGATTGAACCAGATATTTTGCAGTGTTGAAAAGTTCAAAGCTCCGTGCTTCGCAATTATTTTGCCAAGAGTGCGACCATTTAATGATAGGTGTATTTTGTAGTTTAACGTATATATATCATCGAATTATAGAGAGCAATTTGCTCCGTTCAACTTTGAATGTTACATAAACGTTAACGAGACGCGTGGGAACCAATTGTGTTCTGTGGAGGCCTATGTGAATCATGACGAATATTCAGTAATTGGTACGTTGCCTGGAGTATACCCGTTCTACATGTGGGCTTCACAAAGGGGGCACGCTAATCTTGGTGTAGGCTGCGGACAATGTTGGGCAACGACGCCGCTGATGGCATCATTTCTTTTTTCCGATCGAAATAACCACGCACAAAATCCTAGCCATCTTGCAGCACATCCACCATCCGAATATAACTCGACTGTTTCCTGCATGCTTCCGAGTCCGGAAACCCACACACACTTATCGTCACCCACATCGTAGCAGTGTAGCACCAGGCAACCACCCTACTACCAACCCTCCTTATTGCACCTTGCATTCCGCTACATCCGTTTGGCCCATGAACGCCCCAGATTACGTATCGATGCAATCCCTTTGCCAAATACCCCGACCGCTTATATTACATCTGTCTAGCCCCTAGAAACGCCCCATCTGTATCATGGGGTGCGATGACGAATTACAAGAAGCGGGTCCAGCACGACTGTTTAGTCTCGTGGGAGGCTTAGTATCAGGATTTGTACATAGTTGTGAGGGAGCGACACAAAGGGCTGGTGGGTACGTGGCAGGGAGTTACGGATCCGTTGAAGCATGTCTTCGAGGTGTGTGTTCACTTCCTCCTGTAGGGATCATACTTAACGGACCAGTGTAGGATATTGGGATCGCAACCTGCTTGTGCTCTTGTGGACGGGTACCTTCTCGACTTTGGGATCAATGGGTCGATTCGGCTGAAGAACCCAGGAAGAGCTGGCCACATCGCCTGGGGACTTCCTAGATCTGGGGTACGATTCCCCTTCTTCCAACCACTCCCTTGCTGACCCTCCATGGAAGATGCGGAAATGGACTCCTCACGCAGATCCTGAGGGATGATCAACTACGGAAGAATATCCAACTCCCTTCTCTCCCGGCTTCTTGCGTAATTACCCCAGATGACCTCAGTGCAGGCGCTCAGTCGATCGGCCTATTTCTCTAGCGTTCGTATTCGTACCTAATTGACGTCTCTAATTATCTGTTCTAATATCGTTTTTGTCTAGGGTCTCCATGTTCGCGACATTGCTGCCAAGAGCAATATCTCTTCCACAAAATTAGGTAAGTACAGGGATTTCTGGCCAAGTGACGCTCAGTGTGAGATGATAATTAATTAGCGCTGAAGAACGGCCATTCATGAAATGAATTGTGCCCGCATCTACTTTGGAGATAGTGCGTACCCCAACATGCGTCGCACCACCCACTCAAAACGCGAGCTGTCAGGCTGAGGCAGATCATTTTTCTTAATGACCAATATTGCCGATACGCCCCCTCGGCCTCTTTACAAGTCGGTTCCAGATAGTATAAAACACAGTGCATTTCTATCTCAAATTTCTCACGCAAATATCTCTGATCATCAAATGTTTCTCAGCTTTTTCAACGTCTCAGTCTTCAGCTATGTTGACCTATTCTGGTACCTTGTACAGTACGTTCATGTCGTTCTGCTCAGACATTTCATTCCCGACGTTTACTTGATAGGCGTCCCTCGGTCACTCAAAACTCCGCAGCGGTAAATCACCCCAAGCCAACGTGAGTTCACAGTGTCAGATTCAACTCTAATTCAACTCTCATCAATTTCATAACAGTGGCCCGGTCATGAAACCGCCCCCGGTCGTGAAACCAGCCCCAGTCGTGAAACCAGCCGTCGTGAAACCAGCCGTCGTGAAACCAGCCCAGCCCCCACCAATTATCACTGTCCCAGATCAGTAAGGATTTGCACTTCACCCCGTGGTCAGACAATACTTACAATGATCTAGAGCGAGGAAGTCATTGTTTGCTCTCGTCATCGGCATTAATGAGTACAAATATGCCGATCTTCTGAACGGGTGTATCAAGGATGCAACGGACGTGTGCAACTATCTACTTCAAGACTTAAAAGTTCCCAATTCACATATCCGCTTTCTGACTAACGAGAATGCCAAGCACGCTGACATCATCAAGGCGTTCCTGGAAATTCAAACTGACAAACGTATCAAGAAGAATGACCCAATCTTGATTTTCTTTGCAGGACATGGCGACGAAACTGATGCTCCGACTGGCTGGCCTTCTGGAAACATATCCAACCAGATACAGATGATCATCCCACAGGACTACTGCACCATTCCTGCAAGGCAAGTCCATGGAATCCCCGACCATACTCTCGCAGCATTACTGAACGGAATAGCGGATCGACATGGGGACAATATAGTAAGAAATTTCTCTCAACCTACCCTTGACATGGGTGACACAAATCTCGTTTAGACCGTCATCTTCGACTGCTGCCATTCAGGCTCCGGGACGTGAGGAAGTCGTAAAGTCAGAGGCCTTAGCGAAAATTTGAGACAACATATACCAAAGGACCTTGACCGTGATATCTGGCACACCAGTGGATCCCGTGGATCGAGCACTGCACCAGGATATACCAGAAGCGGATTAGCCAACCACGTCCTCTTGGCAGCATGCACACAAAAAGAAAAAGCGGGTGACAGTCTCAAGGGTGGGCCGTTCACCCAAGCCCTCCTTCCTACTCTCAAATCGGCGGGCGCGGATAGACTTACGTACGCCTCTCTTCTGGAGAGAATGGACAAGATACCATTGTAAGTCTACCCAACTGAAATATTTCCAAGACTGATGTCGTTTCCACAGCCAAAACCCCCAGTGCGAAGGGGAGAACCAAAATCACATCATTTTCGACTCCAAAGCACCTACAACAGGACGTGTATGTTTCCCTATCAAGATGAAGGGCTCAGCATATGAGATGCAAGCCGGATCTGCACATGGTGTCACAGAGGGTTCTGAATTCAGTCTATACAACGACAGTCTCACAATCGATGACTCACCCTCCCTCTGTGTCTTTGTTGTTGCTTCTGCGGCTCACATTGGCCCATTCACCACGACGCTGACGAAACATACATCCAGCACTGCCATCACCCCTCTTTCCGCAACTTCTTGCGTTTTGCAAACGAAAGCCGGGAAACTGGAGGATCTTCTAGTGTTTGCTTCACTCGATGAAAGACTTACCAGATTGTATGAGACTCTGGCGAGAATGATGGAAGAGTTCCATCCTGGAAAGAGGCAAATCCGGCCTGTCCTAGAGAAGGAAAAGGCGAGACTCGGCCTTTCGATTGTGGACAACAGAATAGCGTTCGACATCCTGGACTCGCGTCTCGCAGAGTACAGCTTGACGTGTATGCCTCATACCGTAGCAAACGACCCGCAGGAAATTATTCCGGTCCTTCATGGCGCTGCTCATTTCTATTGGCATCTTAACCGCGAGGTCAAAAATGCTCTCGTCGACACCCCCATCGTCATTGAATGCAATACCCTCAAACGCACAAGTGATTACTCAATTTCGGGAAAGGCAATTTTGAAGCCGACTGGGGACAACCTCTTACAGCTTGACGGTGTCATTGACGTCGTTGCGTCAGAGGAGACGATGTACGGATATAAAATTACTAACAACAGCGATCGCGATCTCTACATCAACGCCTTTTACTTCGACAACACCGACTTTAGCATTCGTAATTTATAATTTTTACTACCACTGGACATCGTTAACCCACCCCCTTCTGCAGAAACATACTACCAATCACCAACAAGCGGTAAATTCGAAACCTACCCCACCCTCACCCAAGGTGGCGGCTCTCTCACCCTCGGCTACGGCTCTGGCGGGGTTAACCCATTCACCTATTGCCTAGAGGAAGGCACCAACATTGACGTGGGGTATTTAGTATTCTTCATTGCCTCAGAGAACGTCAATCTCTCTACCATCCCGCAGAAGACGCCGTTTGAGGGTCCGGGACGCAAGTCTGTGCAAGTGAAGCCCGCTGCGGAACCAGTTTACAGCACTTTCTTGGTGCCCATTGTTCAGCGCCATTATCGGGTCCAGGGACAGTGAAGGCTCCGAAAAATTGAAACGGGATTTGTGCGCTGTCGATTTTACTTGAGAAGTTCGGATGGAGGTCACTGTTTTACACGGTCTAGTTACCTGAGAATGTTTCCGAAACCAAGTGTTTGATATGGAAATGTTTCGACTTTGATATCGATGTTTTTTGAGAAGGACCTCCAGACATAAGGCGTGAGCCGAATCAGCCAATTTGGAGTGCAATCTCAAATGCAGTTAGTCCACCCAAAGTTGAAGGGAAAAAATATCAACCGAGAAGGACCCCAGACATAAGACGTGAGCCGAATCAGCCGATTTGGAGTGCAATCTCAAATGCAGTTAGTCCACCCAAAGTTGAAGGGAAAAAATATCAACCGAGAAGGACCCCAGACATAAGACGTGAGCCGAATCAGCCGATTTGGAGTGCAATCTCAAATGCAGTTAGTCCACCCAAAGTTGAAGGGAAAAAATATCGACCTGGTCTTTTTTTTTTTTTCAATGCCGGAGCGCCCTTGGACATTGAAACAACGTTCCTAAGTAGAAATGATCGCCTTTCTTGCGAGTAACGTGACTCGCAAAATCGCGACCAAACAACCCCTCACTAGGCTTGCACTAGGCCTCACTTCTTGTATCTTGACCAAATCTTGACTTGACTCGCCATGCCCGCCCCTCTTTAGAATGCGTTGTATGTCGTCAGCATATGATAATTTACTTGTTACCTTTAGTGTTTAAAGGTTCAGTTCAGTCCGGTTTTTTGCCTCAAAAACGCGCAACCGTGGACCGCAACTGGTCCAGGACCGACCCAGATATTGAGGGAACCGAACCGAACCACCTAGGACCGGTCTTTTGCGGTCCATGATACCGGTTCAGACCGATCCAGACCGGTTTTTTTGTGTATAATTTATTATACCAATATAAACCATTTGTATCTCAACCATTATTACTCTGAAAAATAAAGGGGTTATATAAAATAGTAAAGCATATAAATACCCATCATTCTACCAATTTTCAAGAGATTTAATGAAGATTTGACATAGCTATGACTGAAACTGAATTACATCTCCTAGAGACTCGGGTAAAATATGGATTTGGTTATATCTTTCTCAATTCTTAACCGTTTTTGATGAAACAAAAACCCAATAAAAGGCAATAAACGTGGTTACAAGGCTATGTAACGCACGTGACCGTTTAACCGGTTCCAACCGATTAAAACCGGTCTTTGAACGGTTTTAAAAGATTTTCGAAATGAGGCAACCAGCAACCGGACCAACCCCAAATTGGGGCAACTGCAACCGAAAAAAAGACCGGACCATGGTCTGGTTCAGTTCGGTCCACCGGTTTTTTGTGGTCCTATGGACTGAACCTTTAAACACTAGTTACCTTAGAGCTCCTTGCCGAATCGACCTTTTTGGACGATCTTGACCACAATTGGACCACATGTTCGCTGTTCCGACAAGACGACCAGAATTTTTCGAACCTTCTACCAAATGTATCGTTGAGTCTGTACGTGAGCAGCGCAGGAGTGAGCGAATTGCACCTTCCTTAGGGATTTTTGTCTGATATTACTGTCAATTATAAACGTAATTTTGGTCGGAGGCTTTGCCGCAAGTGACTGGCTGTATACCAAAGTTTCGGAACGGTTGAAGCCTGACGGCTTCACCGTTATTCAGGCACGATAACCACGTGTATGTCATTTTCATTAAGAGGCATTTTATCACAGCTGAAGGAGATTTAGTAACAAAGCCGTAGCTGACGGTGCGCTCTCCTACTACTTACATTGACCACTACCTTGCGACCACCACGTCAAGACTCGAGTAACAAAGATCACATATGGTAGCCGTGGTGGAATCAACTATGATTCTTTGAATCCCGAGCATTCGAAACGCTCCCACCTGCCAGTTTTAACTTCTATTTCTGGTGTCAAGCATTTAGGCGGCAGTATCTTCTGGGTTTTATTGCCAAGTTGCCAACCGTACGTCATGAACCTGTTTGCCCTTCCTCCTCCGATTTTCTTATGTTTTCTGTAGAACCGAAACGGAGGAGTTTAGGCGAGCCCATTGCTGGGAGTTTGACAACTTGAGCCGGTTGTCAACTGCTTCGACGGCAGTTTGGGGATACGAGGAGACCATTTTGGATGCGGCTTTTATGGATCTAAACACGTGTACGTGGGCTGTTCGCTGTCTGCTCGCTCACCTTTGGCTGACCCAGGGGACATGTTAGCCCTCTATTCCCAATTGTGTACGATCGAGGTAGACCTCGCATTTGAAGCCTTCTCCCAAGAATGTGAACGCTAGCACGTCGACTTGATACAAGATAGACTATGAGTTGATCATGCTGTTCGGTGGTACGGAGTTGAAGGCGTGGCTTGCGTGGAAGGAAAATGTAAGTTCCTCGTTTCACTTTCTTTCTCGGATGACGAGCTAACAACGGATTTCAAGGGTGTGGAGAGGCGAAGTGCTGCGAATTTGATTGTGTGTTCTGGTTGAATGGTTCACCTTGAAGGACAATGTACATTTAGTTTTTTTGCTAGATCTTGGTATGAATGGATGCATTTTGGTTTTTGAAAGCAGGAGGAGAGGCAAACACAACAAGAACCCAAGGGGGTAGCGGGACGTGGATCCCACACCAAGGGTAGGAGGGGGGGGGTCCGGCCAAAGGCCGAAAAAAAAAGTGACACCCCATCAATTTTCAGATTTTGAAGGGCAGCGACATTCCATGTATCTGAAGCTGACACGGACGGTCTAAACCAAGAGTACGTACTATCATCTACGTCGACACAGCCTACACTCCCCACGCCGCCCCAGGCCAAGTTCCTCTTGCTTCTGTGATCAGTTACACCACTCGGATGCTTCAGATTCTTTCTTGGCCTGCATATTTAAGAGTCGCTTTTGAAGATTTATCACATTCACAGTAATGAAGAAATGCCCTCTCATTCAGAATTCTGTACAGTGTAGCTACTTACCCAGGATGATCCATCTTTGAACAAGTTTTTTTAATATCATGCTAGCACAGGCCCGTCATATGCATCTTCAGTGAACTCGACTTCACTTAAACTTAGTCTACGGCCAACCACCTGTGCGTACTATGTAGTTGACATGTTACACGGAAATATTTTGAATTCAAAAAAAAAAAAAAAAAAAAAAAACATGAGTATGGGAAAAACATACTTTATTAGGAAGGTAATGGTGGGGGGGTGTCAGGCGGAACCCTGAAAAAAAATAACGAGTGTTGGTCTCTTTTCCACATTCCGCCACCCCGTTGCAAGAACCTTTGAAATTTAACGAAATCTATAAATTCTACACGGGCACATGGTGTAGTTGGTTATCACGCCCGCTTAGCATGAGATGAAATATAACTGTCACCATTCTGCGGGCGGTCCCCGGTTCAATTCCGGGTGTGTCCACTATTACATTCCGTTCATCTCACCTTTTTCCTCAAAGCTCTGATCAAATTCCACAAATTTTTTTTCATAATCACATCCAGGGTATGTGAAATTGCATTTATTTTTTTATGAAACGAAAAAAGAAATACAAGAATCTCCTTGACGTCTGTTAGTCAAGGGATCCTTCACTTTGCCTTGACACCTCGCCACTCGATCTCCGCCCGAGCGCCAACGTCTCGCCTCGCGTCGTTGACACGTTGAAACAACGTTCCCGACCATGATAGAGTTGGATCTTTGTCTTTCCCGTCTTCCCTAGCGCACGAGTAACGTGACTCGCAATATAAGATTACACGACCAAACAACGGCCCTTGACTTCTTTCCTCACAACTCGCCACTCCAAACTTGAAGCACGATGGTCAAACGCGCCAAATCGCCCGACGCAACGGACGATGTTCGATATATGACGGTGTATCAGCCCTACCCGATGAACGCCAACTGGGAGCTTCCCAGCGACGTTATCGCCTTTGCGTTTTGGATCGCAGGGTGTATTGGCGTCGAGCCACTGTTGGGGTTACACTACAAGCCCAAGGCGAGTCGTCTGCTTTGTAGAGCGGAAGAGGGATACTGACAGGTGAATGATAGGCACGGGGGATGGTGCTACTGGAGATCGACAAAGCCTACCCGGAGCACGAACGCCTTCTCGGCGAACACCACTAGATCGAGTTCTTGAAGAACCCAAGGGCAGATGAGAAGGAGCGGATTTCCCAGATCTTTTATTGTTTGTATGATACAGGGCGAGCGGCACAGAAAGACGGTACGTCTGCTGTTGTCTTTATTTGCAACAACGAAACTTACTTACGTACGTAGGATGGAAGCGCATACACGTAGAAAGCCACTGGTTCAAAGATTGGAGCCCGAATAACGGGTACATTTCTTTCCCTTCGCTCCGTTTCTCCGCTAACATACATACACCCCAGCGTCATCCACAAACCCTACCCAACCACACACTGGTGCCCCGTCCCACCCGAAGACAAAACCAACAAACCCCTCTGTCGGAGAGGTGGCATTTACAAGGCTCGAATGGTGGGTACATACTTTCCTATGGAGTCTTGGCTTCATAGCGTGGTTCCGCTTACCGGTTTAAATGGGCTTCACGCGTTACACGCTCCGACTTCACGTCATCTACTTAATTCTCCCATTACGCGCCTTTTCGCGCATACATTCACATTTCTTTCGACTTTCACGTCCGCCCTAACTAACCCCCTCCATTCCAGGCTCAGGAAAAACGACCCTCCTCTCCCTCTTAACAGGCGACCACCCACAATCCTACACGCAAGCACACCTCCACCTACCCTTCCTATCCCCCGCCTCATCATCGTCCCTTTCGCCCCCCTCCTCTCCCACAACTCACCCTTACCGCACGCACACCCTCCACCCACGAAAACGCACACCCACTGCACACCTCCGCACACTCATCGGCGTCGTCTCTCCAGAACTATTCGACGCGTCGTCATCCAGGCATGACAGTCTGGGAAGCCGTCGTTACGGGCTTTGGAGGGGTTTTTTTCCCGCTTAGAGGGAGCGAGAGGGTGGGTGAGATAGATGTGGCTGACGAGGAACTGGGGTTTGAGCTTAGTGGCGTGGAGAAGGAACAGAGGCGGCGGGAAATAGAAAAGTGGCGAATCGATCGATGCTGGGACGTCTTATCAGCACTTGGCCCACGAGCCTGTCAGAGACGAAAACACAATTCGCAGCGCGTAGGTTGAAGGTTCACGGCCCTTTCACCAGGCGAGCAGCGTATCGTCCTCCTCATGCGTGCTTTGGTATCCCGGCCCCCGTTGGTGCTTCTCGACGAGGTATGGAGTGGGATGGACGAGGGCATGATTTGTGCCGTGCGGAGATACTTGACCACTGAAGGTGGTGTTAGAGAGGGACAGGCGGTTGTTGTGATTACGCATTGGGATGAGGAGGTTCCGTGGGGCGGTGAGGGGGTTAGGCCGTTTAGGATTTGGGAGGGGGTGGGGGGCGTTGTTGCTGGATGAGTGAGTGGTGTTGCGTCGTGAAGGCAGGATTTCTTGATAGATGTGTAGGATGAAAGTAGAGAGCGGTCTCAGGCGCCAGACTAGGGACCAGGACCATTGTATGTGTATCAACGTTGTTCAACGCCTGCTCTGTGGGTTCGAATCCCAGTCTCATCATAATGGCTTTCATCATGCATTGCAAAATATATTTTGGTGGATATCTTCTTGTCAACGGAGGGTTAAACGTTTAATTATTGTGTTCCTCATCAAGGACGTCGGACTTGGAACGATTGGCGCATAGAACGACCTTCACTATCATCACCCACGGCCCTCCGTTGCTCTCTCCTCCTGCCTATCGGCAAAAAACGTCTTGTTACCCTCACAGCCTGGTCACGGACAAGTCCCGGGGAAGCCTGAATGCGCTGCCTCTCGGACGTAGACTTCGAGGCGTCAACGACACATTTCCTTTCATTCACTTCTTCCCATACGAGCTTGGATCCGACGATTGGAACTCACTTCCTTGCACGTTGCAAGTTAGCGTGACCGCTCTTGTCTTACGGTTGGAGGGGATGATGTGCTGACCGAGGATCATGGAGTGCATGGAGAGTTTCTGCACAGGACACAGTGGTACCCATACACCCGCCCTTTGACGCCGTTTACTATAGGAGCGAGTTACAGCCCCTCTTAAAAGTGGATTTGCCAATCCACTCCTAGTGGTTTCAAAGTGGTTTAGTATTGGCTGGAAAACTATCGGAAAAGAAGGAAGGTGTCGGTAGCCTATTGTCAATCACGTCTAGTAATCCCACCTTACATGGCCCAATCACGTTCCTAACTATCAGTTAGGCTATGGGAGGCGATGACGACGGTGAGCTATGGATGGATACGCGGTACGCCGTTTTCAGATTGTGGGACGATCACACCCCGACATAACTTTTCGATTCACGTAAGGTTTTCGTAGATGTAAGCATCACTGGGTGACTCACCGCAGTATATGCGTACCTCCCTATCTCAGGGTCCAGGAAATTCACGCCAAAGGACGTGAACGTGACGGTTCTGGGGTTGATGGTGCCAAGAGTCGGGTTTTCGGGAAGAGGGCGCGCTTCAGATCGCCTTCCAGGTGTGTTTGGCGTACTGCTGCAACCGCCTCATCACGTCGTGGTATCCATGTCATTGGGAATATGACGCCTTCTTGGAGACGCTGTATTCGAGGATTCAAGGAGTCGGTAAGCATCCAACCCTCACTGTCAGCTGCAATGACTGACAGAAGTGATATAGAAGAACCAAAAGCCGCTGAGAGATGGCGCGCCGTCACCTGCGCACGACTCGGTCCATCAGATAACAGAAAAACCCAGATGATAGAGTTCATGTGCAGCTCTCTCCTCAACATTCTAATTCTGTCAGGTTGGTCGAAAGACTGCCCCTTAACGCGGAGTATCATGGAGTCCTTCGAGGATAAACTTTCGATCGTGGCAACGCTAGCCATTCGCCTCCACGTCATGCTTGGGGAGGATAGATCGCCTGAGCGACTGGAGACGCTCTTGATACCACCGGGAACCGACTTTGACGATGAGTTTATGGACAACGATTACGCTGAGGGGAATGAGTCGGATGATGGAGATGAGGTGGTCTGCACTTCCGATATTGGCCTGCGAAGAGTGACGAGAGACGGGATAAACGTAATCGTGAAACCCAAGGTCATTGTACCTGCCGTTCTCGAGCAGATGGGGCTTTAGACGTTCACTGAAGAAAGCTGTTAGATAATTTCACAGAAATTATTTAATTACTTACATAATCAACTTGAAGAAGGAGAACGTCCAACAAACGTCCAGAACGATCTTTTAGGGAAGCGGGGAGAAAATGAATCTGGTTGTGTGTTCAGTAAATACCATGAGGCGATGCGGATGGACTCACGTGGACATTCATAGAGGGCGTAACGAGAATGAAGTGTCCAATCGACGTTTGAGTGGTTGAGCAAAAAAACCGCACTCTGCACTTGGGCCTCTGCTGCGGTACTTCATCCTGCCACATTGAGCGAGGAGTTGAAAGGAGCGCAAAGGTTCCTTAATCAACCAGCCGAAATGGCGCATCCAGTGATAAGGTGGCACTTCACAGTTTGAACTTGACGGTTTGGCTCCCCAGGATTCCCGCGGTAACAGTTCAACAAAAATCGGAGACCGAGAAACTCCCTGACGGCTTTGAAGGGGATTCCGCGTATGTGGCCCATTATCTCTTGAACACACGGAAGTTTAGTAAAAAGGCCGCTTCTCATGGAGTGCTTTATTATTCATTTCAAGACTCACCTTTTGATCATGAATGGAAAACTTCTAGTCCCGACCTTGTCTGAATACCTCCAATCTTGAGGCGATATGTACAAATGGGCCGTCCGCCGCAAATGTATGATCTTGCTACCTTCTCCTCGAAATCGACTGGTCCCACGGCGTTTACGGTCTATCAATCCAGGTAGCAGTTCGAAACGAACAAGGGAGCGGCGGAAAAGACCTGCGCAACACGATGATGTGCTTCCGCACCAGCTTCACGGATGTTGGCAGACGTCTTTGTGTACCTATTCGTCTTCCAGACGCGAAGACTGCACCAATGGTAAGATGCAAAAGTCTTTCAAGAAGTACAATCGCTTACGGTAGCCCTAGGCGACGTTCTCGCATCCCCTCGTCGTCCACGACGCGTCGCAATGCAGCGCCATTTCAGGAGAGTCATCCATGGTGAATTTGATCGTGGGGAGCGTCCATTGCGTTCTTGGCTTGTGTCTCCTTGCCATTTACGAGGTTTCATCGTTGAATGTTGTAGTGTGATGGTAGCCGAGTTCAGCAGAGTCAAAGTTGAGAACAAGTTGCAAGTGATAGTGGTGACAACTGTTTCCTCATTGTTTCCACCAACCTCCACGGACAACGTGGCCCAGTGAGGGCTACACACACTCTTTGAGTATCTTATGGTCCTCAAAATCGCGGAAGCTTTCGCGTCCTCGTTCTTTCCGACTGAGTACATCGTCCACATCGTCGTTGGGATTGTAGTTATCCTCACACTACATGCCGTCCGACGAACAACCCGTGAACGAAATCTACATGCCAGAACGGTGTTGATAACGGTGCGCTCGACTGCACTTCGCATTGCTCTGTGGTTTGACTGCTGACAGCACCGTCTAGCGGGTTTACACCTCTGGGCCTGACAATTCTCCAATCACTAGCCCAACGCGGAGCCCACATAATCGCTCTTTCCCCAGACCCAATCGACTCTGCCAACATAACTATCCTCATCAGTCTCCTCCGCACAACCACCTCGAATGAACAAATATTCGCAGAGGAATGCGATGTCTCTTCACCCGCCTCCATACGCTCTTTCTGTACTCGATTTCTCACCGGGCAAGACCAGAGAATCGACGCTATCATCTTCGCACACGAGTACCACCAAATTGGCTCGTTTTTCTCTCGTAAGGACAAAGAAAAGGAGCGGAATGAGGGTTCGTTAGCGACGTTCTTGATCACCACGCTGCTATTGCCAGCACTCCTGGTTGCCTGTGGAACGGGACATTCGAATCATCAACGTCGTCAACTCATTCTACGCAGCCGCCGCTACCCTCTTACCTCGTTTCGATCCCCCAAAAGAAAGGTCCGTTTTCTTGAGGGAAGGCATCCGTTCTCTACGAAACATCATCGTCACACGGCATCTCCAACGTATTCTAGACGCACTCCATGCTGCACAGATACCTAAACCGGAAGAAGGCTCTTCCTCTGTCCCTGTGGTCAATACGAAAGCGCAAAAGTGAAACATCGTCGCTGTAAGCGTGTGTCCAGGCATAAGCAGAGTCGACACCATCTCAGCTCTCTTCACCGCCGATTGGACGATACGTTCCGTACCTTTCGGAATAGCCCTGTGAGTTTTATGTGCATTGCAGCGCGATATGTTCTGATTGTGCCTAGCTACATCATCCTCCAGCCCGTCGTTTGGATCTTCTTCAAGTCCTCAGAAATAACTATGCAATCCGTGCTACACGCCCTTTTCCTCTCAACGCCAACCGACCCAAGTTCCCGATGCGATGCCTGAGAAGTGTTGAAGCCCGTATTGGAAATCCCGGATGATGGAGAGTACGGCAGGGAGGTTGCTGGGAGGCTTGTTTGGGAGGCATATGAGGAGACTTTGAAGGTTTGGGAGAAGGAAAACCCGGCCAGTGAGGAGGATGCGAAAAGAGGGGAAGAGAGAAAGCGGGAACAGGAGGAGGTTGTAGACGAGGTTTCTCCGTATTGAAATGACATGGTAGACTTCATTCCAGTACTTCTCTTTTCCTATGATCAGTTAATGTGTATGCCACAGACACGCAAAAGGGTTGGATCGAAGACTCTGTAACGACATGATACCATCGCCGTGAAGATACAGAATAAGTGCTCCTGAAACGGCGGTACAAGATTCGTCGGATTCAAGTTCGGATGGGATGCTTTAAATGAAAGGGTGAAGACTCGGGGCTATCAATCGTGTTGGCGGTACAGAGTTTGAAAGTAGAATGCGTCGTTGACGTTTTGTGTCCGAGAGGGAAGCCTAGCAGGTGTCCATCGAGAGAATAGACGAGCAGCCTACATATTCAAGTTCATCCACAATTTTTTTTGCGACCAGGCTGTAAGTATGCCAAGACGTATTACCGACCGATAGGCGGAAAAAGAGAGCAATGGAGGTCATGGGGGATGATATATGATAGTGAAGGTCGTGAATATATGCGCAAGTCGTTCACGTTTAATTCTCCATAGACAACAACGTGCACACCATGATGAAAAAGTATGCAATGGATATGATGAGAATGGGATTCGAACCCATGCCCCGGAAGACCATATGTTGCTGAACAACGTTGAAAGACATCCAACGCCCTGATCTCCAGTCTGGCGCCTTGGACCTCTCACCATACATGGCTCAAGAAATCAAATTCAAGCAACACTACTCAGTCATCCAACAACGCCACCACGCCCCTGCCAGATCCTAAACTGCCTAACCACCCGGGTAATCTCCCCCTCCCAATGTGTAATCACCACCACAGCCTGTCCCTCCCAACACCACCACCTTCAGTCTAGTAATGCGTGCATGAGCAGTACAATATGCTGTTCTCCAGGGGAGAGGGACATGAACCGACGAGCTGCGGATTCTCTTTCCATCTTCAGAGTTCCTGCCGTTCCTGGTGTCGACGCACTTCGTCCAAGGGCAGATGGAACCTCATAGCACCGAGAAATTCTCCACTCTTCAAATTTCCAGCCTCACTCGGCTAGTTTCCAATCCCAACCTCAAACCCAAATTCGTCATCGCCCACACCCGCCCTCTTGCTTCCTCTAAGCAGTACAAAACCCCCTCCGAAGCCTGTAACGACTGCCTCCCAAAGTATCCTGCCTGGATGACGACGCGGGAAGGCATCGAATAATTTTACTGGGACAACGCTGATTAGCGTGCGTAGGTGAGTTGTTGGTGTACGCTTTCGTGGGTTGAGGCGGCGGCTTCGGTACTGGTGTGCCATCGAGGAGGAGAGAGACGATGACGTGGCAGGGAATAATGAGGGCAGGTGGGTGGAGGTGTGCTTGCATGTATGACTGTGGGTGGTCGCCTGTCAAGAGAGAGAGCGGCGTCGTCGTTCCTGAGCCTGTGAATGAGATAGAGGTTAGTTAGCGTATGTAGTGAGAGGTGACAGGTAAAAGCGGCATGTAGCAGAATATAAGGCCGATTCGAATCAAAGCGAGTCAACCAACATGTGGTTTTCGACGAGCCAATGAACGGGTCAAGTGAATCCACAAGCTGGGTACAATCCAAATCAAATGAAAGCGGCAAAGTCAGCTCTGTGAATCGAAGGAAAGGGCCAAAGTAAAAAACCGCGAAGCTCAGAGAGAACCTCAATTCCTGCGAGACGCGATGAAGACGCGACTGGGTCAAAATCCCCAAGATGAGGTAGTGGGAAGGATGAAAGGGCAAGTCACTGCAAACTGAAAAATGGAGAAGAGACATGAACACTTGGCCAGACTTCTCGAATGGAAAGGTCAAACGAAAAGACAGGAGATCTGGGAAAGAGACGGAGACCCCAGCTAGGAAAAAACGTTGTAGTACTCACCGTTAGGCCCTTGTAAGTGTCACCTCTCGCCTTTGCAGATCTGCCAGGACCTGTCACCGCCATGTCAGCACTTATTTCAACTGCTGGAGGGAGGGGCGGAAAGAAAAGAAAACTCGAAGAAGTGAAAAAAGATCGCACAGAAAGAGATGAAAACGGAGGAAAGGAAGTAAATTCGAGAAAGGCAAAAAAACCCTGAGAAAATGAGGAAAGAAAATGGGTGAAAGGGAAAGGAAACTCAAGGGAAAGGGGACGAAAAAGCATGGTAAGAAACGAAAACACGGAAAGAAGAGAAAACACGCGATAAAAGAGGTGCTCACGGTCCTATCCCCATACTTCACCCCAACGCCTTTCAGGTGGACGACTATCAGCATCCCCTCATCCCGCGGAGCAGCGCCGCTCAACAACCTGTTCCTCCTTCGTCCTAAAAGTCTGCAAAGTCCAGAGCGTCCGCGATGTCTCAACCCACTTTTCCGCTCCCCTCCTCCTCTGCGTAACGTCCCCCTCACTAACATCCCATACATGCGTGTTTCAGGCCGGAAGCTCTTCCTGCACGCGCGTCCCGAGCATTATATGCAGGGACCGGGATGCGTGAAGGTCTGCTAGGAGGGCAAAGAGGTAGGAGCGGGAGATTGGGTGTAGGCCAGCTAGATAAGGGGAGAGGTTCAGTATTTGTAGAAAAGAAGGGAAGGAGGCAAGAGATAGAGTGAAGGAGGGACGAAGGGAGCGAAGTAAGGGAGGAGGCGGGGTGCGGGAAGCGAGGATTCGCAAGGGTGAAAACGCGGCAATCTCGAGGAGAGAACCAAAGAAGGTTGGGGGATTGGGAAAGTTGCGAGAAATGGACGAGAAAGACGAGCACTCACTCAACGGCTCATTCAGCAAGAGCAATCCAGGGGCTTTCATGACAGCCCTCGCGCTCCTGGCCCATTACTCAGCGCAATGAGCAGGATGTCCAATAACTCCGTCAATCCTAGCTTATCCGCCCAACTCGCACTTCGAGCTCTTCCCTATCCAGAAAACTCAGACTATCCCATAAAGTGCATCCATCTTCATCCCTAACAGCCCCATAACGCAGCTGTATAATCATAGAAACCCCCTCCGGTCCCTCTCGTTCGAACGCAATGAAAGCGAGTCGACGCCCGCCAAATGTGTC